ATATATATATATATATATATATATATATATATATATATATATTGAAATAATAAAATTAGAATTGTGAAGAAAAGAGGGGACAGTGAAGTGTGACCAATTTGGTTGGGACAAAAACCTACAAAGATTTATAAGAAGATTCGAGAAATGACTTGACAATACACTACCACACCAAACTCCATCGGGGTTACATTCGTCATTTCATTATCCACATCAAAGCTAATTTATGACGTCATCACTTTTTTCAAAAAAGTATTAATTTATTATTTTCGACTTTTATTACATATTCCACAAAGAATATAAATGACGTCATTTGGCGCTCTTGCTAACTTTTCTCTTCACAATAAAGCGTTTTAAGATATTAAACTTAATTAAAAATAAAAAAATTACGAGGTAGATGGTAAAATTAAATAAGTTTTTAAAAGTAATTTAACATAAATGATTTGTTTTTCAAATGTTTAATAAAATAAAAAAATATTTTATTAAATATTTTAATGATATAATTAATATTTCAATCTCCAAAATACAAGTTAACGTAATTTTCAGGAGATTTTTGATTTTCATTTAATGGAATTTTAAAAAATCATTTAAAAATATATATTTTTTAAATAATAAACATGTCTTATGTCTCAATCAAAATAAACAACCTCGATCATATCTGTGAAATGCTCAATGTTAATTTAAGAAAAAAATAATCAGTCTTAGTGGTTATATCACCCACATTTCTATTTTTGTTTGCCTCACAGTAATATCGACATTTTTATTTTAGTTTATTCCAAAATAAGTATTCACTTTAAAACAAATAAGTGCATACTTTCCAATTATATCTTTTTTATAAGTGTTAAAATCATTTATTCTGGTTTTTTATCCCTTATTGTACTTTTATCTTGTTGCAATGGAGTGATTGCTACTCGGTGCAGGGGCATCTACTGATTCACTTATAAGGTGGAGAAGTTCGTTGTTACCTCTATTACTAAAAGTAAACTGTCATTTAACCATAAGGGTGATGATTGATTGGTTTGAACTTGACTCCAAAGGTCAAAAGTACCAGAAGGTCTCAAGTTCAAATCCAATGAGAAATAAAATCCCCTTGTGGTCACGGATGTTCAAATACGATGACTCTGAGCCATCTGCAAAGCAGGTGATCGTCCTGTGATTAGTCGACTCACATAGCGGGTTGGATATCCAAGTTAATCAAAAAAAAAATTGTCATTTAGTAAATTGAAAATGTAATAATTAAATGTTTCTAATATTATGTTTTTTTACATTGTTGGCATTTATTTTGGGATGAACTGAATAATAATTTGAATAATTATTAATCATATTAATTACTTTTTATATTATTGTTGGTATTATTATTACTACTACTACTACTACTACTATGATTTTTCAACATATTTAATTCGTCAAAAATGAAATACAACAATTTTAAAAAATATTTTTGTTAGTTAAATAAATATTAAAGTTGTGTTTTCTTCTATTATATAGATACTAAAATTTTGAGAATACTGTTTATTAAAAAATTAGCTGTATTTAACCATATTTGGTAAAACTATATAATGAATATGCTTAAGCTATTAATCACCTGCAAAATAGAGTACTTGAGACGTTTTGATCATCTTTAAATGGCACTCACATTCTATGTTGGTTCGAAAACCACATTCTAAGGAAATGAGACTATCAATTTAGAAAGTTTGTTATATTTCTTAACACGTAAGAATAACGTTACGAGATATGAAAATTTTATGATAATATTGCAAATATGATATAGATGCAAAATATGCCCATTAAACCTAAATAACTGCAATTTTCTATATTTTTGTTACTACTTATTATAATGTAATGAAACGTATTACTGATTTGTGTAATTATATGTTTTTTTTAACGACATACTATATTAAAAACCGAACAAAGAAGAACTAGGGAATCCTTCTGCAAGACGCAGAAGGAAAAACAAACCAAAGAAAAGATTCACACAACAAACCAAAACGCAAGAACAATAAAAAAAAAAAGATCCATTCCAAAAAGAAAAGCTGATCCCAAGCTATTGGATTCTCGTGGATGCAGGAACCCCATGGAACAATTTTAATATGTAAGCGTGATGCTAAATCATTGATGCAGACAACCCTTGGCGCGACCTAAGTCGTAAAACACGTTGTTCGCACATCACAGGTCCCCTCACGCGTATTATTACATGTGATAAGGGTGTTCTTACGTTCTCGTAAAATGGAGGTGTTCTCGTTTGAAACTTCACCAAACCGCGTTCATGTGATAAGGGTGTTTGTATGAGCGATCAAATACAAATCACTCTCTTTTGTACAATCATGTAAGTTTTGAACATGGTTTTTTAGGTTATTTTAATTTTTACATTTGTCATCCAAATTAACAATGAGTTTTTACCAAATACAATTAGTCGTTAACATAATAAATCAATACCTTTAATCTAACCGTATTTTACCACGACTTTTGAGCTTCTTATACTCTTTGTAAAATGGCATCTACTTAGCAATAGCTGAATTGGGATCAGCTGGTGGCTTTTAGGGGCTGTACAGCATCATTTATAAACCCAGAGGGTGTATTTGCAATTAGAACAAAAAATAAGGGTAGATAATGTAAATATGTAAGGATGCACGTATATTATTATTATTATGTGCCAATTGCGTAAAAAAGACAGGAACAGGGTATAAAGATGGCGCCAAAGAGCAACGTGGAGACAGTGCAAATATAGACAACCAATAACGAAAGTCCACGTGTTAATACGACATTAATATTGATGTGCACTTGTCATGTCTCAAGGAAACACTCGTGTTTGTTTTCTTTCCAATTTCTACTACTAATTTACACAAAACTAGTATTTCTTTATAAATAAATAACAAAACCAAATCTAATATGCTCAACATTTTACTTTTATTACAAAAAGTTGTCACGTGAGATCAATTTGTTTTCGTAAGACTTGTGAGACCATTTATTTACACTTGAAACTTCACAGTAAAACACTGTGAAAGTAACATTTACAGTGTTTTTTTGTAAAAAAAAATGATCTCATGGATTTCACGAAAACAGACTGGTATCACGTGAACCCAACTCATATTATGGATAAATAAATATATTGAAGTTAAATATAATTATGATTAATTAGAGATGAATACTCAATTATCTGAAAAATGTTAGAGACCGTTTACCAAACATTTACCCGATAAGCGGTTACAGGTAAATTTAACACTATATTTACTTACCAGGTAAGATTTTTAGTTCACCAAATAGACATCGTATGCAACAATTTACCTGGTAAGTGCTTACTATGGTAAGAGTCGTCGCCCTCACTTACCGGGTAAGACTCTTGGTCCTTGTCTCGCTCTTACCGGGTAAAATTCTTGGTCCTTATCTTATTCATCCGATAAGGTAATATGAATTGATAAACGCTTACCAGGGTAAACATTTGGTAAACGACCCTTTAGATGGTTATTTGATGGTGTTTATTCGATAATGGTTCGATAGATATTGTTTGAACATACTTTTTTTGTTGCATCTAGATTTTAGTGGTCATCGTATTAATTTGTTTCTTATAATGGTGTTTGATAAGGATGCGAAAAATTTATCTATAAATTCTGATAGAAAAAAATTAAATGTACTTACAGTCTGTAGATAACTGATATTTTGTTTGAGAACTTGAAGTCTACAAGTT